AATAATAATAATAATAAATGGTGGTATGGTGGCGGCTCGTACCTGCGTGCAGAGTGGTGGCTCCTTCTCCCCTTTCCCCCCCATGGACGGGTCGTCGGCCAGATGTGATCCGGCGGAAATGGGGGAAAAGGTGCGAGTTTTTCTGTTCTCGGAGCAGCAGCTTGCTTCTTTCTTTCTCCCCGAGGCCCAAATGCGACATTCGGAGAGAGCCCCCCTTCGATTCTAATTTTGGTGCGCCCAAAGAAATAAAAAAAAAACTACCTCCCTTTACGTTGTACAGATGATTTAAGTAGGCATAAAAAATGTGTATATATAAAAAGGTACACAAAAGATCTCACGTGCTGATTTCGTACCATTGATAGACGACCACCACCCTTCTCTATGATCATAGTTAAAGCATTTCCTTTCGTTACGAAACTTATTGTAAATCGTGTTTACGAAGAAAAATAGAATTTCTTCTAAGGCTTCAGGTTTAGTTTAAATCGCATTAACGTAATTTTTTTTATATAACGTCTTTGTTTTCAATTCTGTGAGGATAAGGAAAACATGATTAAATTATCAGCGTTTATTTTTAGCTTTAAACTTTGTCATTTATTTAATAGTGAAATGGACATATAATTTGTTGCTTTTGTCGCAAATCTTATATTTTTGTTTTGTCGCGAAGACTTGAAATTGAAATCGTGAGAGCAATCCATATTTTTCAATGATTATCTATCGACTTCATAAAGTTGTGCGCCCTTTCATATATATATTTTATTTTTTTCGCTTGCTTTTCCTCGATGAATCGTCGTTGTCTTGGGGGGATGATGCATGTCGGCGCCAGAGCGAAGTTTCGCGTGTCGCCGCCCCATAAAATCGGTGCCGGGCGGTGCCGCCACCACCGCCGCCCCCCATAACTTTTTGATCGCCGCCGCCGCCTTCTCCGCCCTGCAGAGATATCGCGCACATACCTTGGATTCCGACAGCTCAAAGAATCCAATTTCGATACTGTTACGTACGATACCTGACGCAAAGAGAGTTAAAAAAAAATGTATACCTATATATATAGGGAAGAACAGCGCTAGAAATCGGTTTAATAATTTAATTTCCTCGAGTATGATCGAAGCGGGCAATTGAATAATGAATGTCGCTCACCCCTCTAGAGGCATGCAAATGATATGCGGCTGCTCTTAGAAAGGATCATCCATCCCCCAAATCCTCATAAACATCTAGAGGCTGGAAACAGTTTAATTAATAAATTAGTTATTAAAAGAAATCAGTAAACTATTTGTATTGATTATATAAATATTTTCCATTTCGTTGATGCTGCAATTTGTAATAGCTGCAACGGATTATTATGAAATTTCATCGTTCCGGTCGTATAATTGAAATTTTCGAAAAAGAAAAAATCACGCCCTAACGGAATTCGGGCATTGTTAAAACAGCGGCACTGGGGGTGGTGAGGGTTTTGGCTAATTTCCACGAACTGGATCGATCGTAGTGAAACTGAAAATGCCGCCTATGCCTTTACGACCACCTCACCGAAAAGGTCGTAATGTTATGTCAACAAATGAAATATCCATAGAAAAAACGCAGATGACTTTCGCATAACGCATCTGCATAGTTTTATTATTATTATTGTTACGTGCATATCATCATCTTCTCGAGTTTTAGCTGCATGCACCGACCGCGCTCTCTTCAGCTGCATGTCTTCTTTTATTGGTCGCGACCCGAGGAGAAAAACCGGTTCTTCTTCGGCGCTCGGAAATAGAGCTTCTTCTTTCTATCCCGAAGGGAAAAACCATCGTCTGCGATCCTCGCGCTCGAACGGCTACGCTGCAGAAAACCTAGAATTTCTGTTTTAGTCTCAATCAATAGATGATTCCCAATAGTAATTCAGAACGCTGGAGCCTACGTCTTTTCGAAGAAGAAAAAAAAAACGCCGATGAATCATTAAAGCCATTTCCACGAGTAAAAAATAATAATGTGTAACGAATGAGATTATATTCAACTCAACCCCTTTCCTAAGGGTGAATAATTCAGTCGCGTTTGCTTGGAAATCTCGTTCGGTTTGAAGGCCCGTTTCTTCGTGCGGTCGGCATTTCGCACCCATAGAGGTAAACGAGCGGGTGAGAGGTAGTAAACCGGTTCATCATTTTCGAAGCATCAATGAACCGAACGAACGAGAGTTTCGCATTTGAAGATCGGCGCAAACCAGTTTCATCATCGCACAAAGGACCCAACCAACAAACAACCTAACAAAAGCAGACGAAATAAAAGAACTAAAAACGCTTTGGCAGATGCAGAGAGGGAAAAATGTAGATCTTTGAGGGGTTTCAAGGCGAGCGTTTGTTTCGATTCTTCTTCGAAACTTATTTTTTTCATTGAATTCCAGGCTTCTTTTAAACTAGTTCAAATCTACATTTAAAATCACGAGATTGTATTACAAGTAAAACTCTTGGGATTCAGTTTGTTCAAATATTGCTATATTTGCGCAGCTTCCTTTAGTGGGATTTCAAGGTAAAACTTGTCTTCCGATCTACAAAATTTTCAAATTTCTACATTTAAAATTACGAAATTGTACAAAGTTGACAACTGTTAGGTATACGTGTTCGGTTTGATTAAAGCAAAGAAAAATAGAAGAAATGTTTGCTATATTTGCGCAACTTCCGTCGTCGAAATTGGATTCAGATTGTTTGCATTCCATTTCGTTTTATAATGCGAGGTTCCTTGTTTACACGCGATACTCACAATAAACACGTCAACGATGCGGTGCGTTATCAACTGTTCACTCTAATCTCACGTTTTTCGGTCATCAGGTGTTGGTTGAGTCAGGTCGTTCGAGTCCGTTTGATGATATGTATGAGAGTCAAGGTACTTCTTCGCCTGGGAAACATTTGGAAATTTCCATTATTTACCTTATGTACACATCTTCCTCTCTCGTATTTTTTTTGTTTTGTTTATTCGTCCTTTTTTTTTGCATCGAGTTTATTTACAACCGCCAGAGATTCTTAATAAAATATTGACTGATTCACGCATTTACAAATAGATTAATTAATAACGATAATTCTCTAGAAATATTCAGTAAAATCGTTAATTTATTCAGTTTTTTTTCTTTTAAATTATTAATTGTTGTTTATGAGTTCAGGTGTTCGCAGCAGAACTGAACTTTGATCAACAAGGAAAATGTCGATAATTTTATTATGCACAATATGTATTTTGTAATTTGGCACGAGTTGAGTTCTCGGATGCAAATCGTATGAAAATGCAAGCTGATTTACATTTTCCGATTGATTTGAATTTTGTTTGAATTAAAGATTGCAGCGATTTTGAAATAAGAAAACAATCAAATTTACATAGTAATTCCAATGTGTTTTTGGAATCTAGACTCGTGAAAATTCCCAGCCATTTAAATCATATTTTATGTCCTCGAACGACAATAATAATAACATCATTTATATGTTGCCATCGGAATATATTTTCATTGATCAAGCAAGCAAAAAGGATTTTGTTTGTTGCAGAAGAAATTCGCGGTATAAATAAAAACCTGTATTTGAGGATCTCGGTTATAACAGAAATGTTTCAAATTTCTTTAATAGTTAAGGATGGAATTCCTGGTGAATTAATTTAATATTTAATTATCTATAGCAGAATATATTTGTTAGTGCATACACTCTGTATATGAAAATCGATCGGAGATTGAACCTCGGTAGAATCTGCTTGAAATCGCTTGAAATTGCAAATAAGTAGCTAAAGGTTGAACTGCAAATTAAAACTATTTTTTTTATGTTGCTACAAAACACGGATAGAGCAGGTGTTTTCAATGCAACAGCCTTTCGAGTGTAACGTGGCCGTATTGTGTTTTTGGTAGGGGGGGTGAGGGAATAGAGGACACCCTGTATATGCAAATCGATTGGCAGGATAGACCAAGTACAATCTGACGAAAATCACAGTATTTATTCGCGAAATTTCATTTAAAATTAATGAATCTAATTCGTTTTTAAAATCTCGACCCAATCAATTCTGTTTATGATATTGAAAACGATCCAATAATCAAGTTTTTTTATTTATACTTGTTTTGGTGAACGTGATTAATTATATAAATAATAAGTAGTAAATTGGTAGTAGTTATAGATAAATGAAATGGTGGTTTTGGTGTTGTAAAGTTATGTTAATACTCTTTGAAAACCCAATATTATTGAGTTTTTTTTTTGCAAATATATGTAAATGGTAAATTGGTGGTAGTAGTGGTAATAATTGGTACTGAGATCGAATCATGTCCACATTTTTTTTAAATGTGATCTGATTGGATTTAAATGCTGAGACACCCGGTGTATGCGAGGAGAATCGACTGGCGGCAAACCAGACAGACAGACAGTCGCACCAGGCAGGCAGACTTACTCAGTCAGACAGGGTTATGTGGCTGTGGAGTGTAGAGTATGTAGTATGGAGAGTGTACGCAGACGACGTACGTAATGTACAGGTGGGAGGTGATAATGACCCTGAGTCGCGGATGCATCGGCCGTTGGCGCGCGCGACGACATCGTCTGCGACTGCACCGCCTCCACCACTGCCGTCGCCGCCGCCTCGTGTGTAGACCGGCGAACGGAAAGCGTCAGAAATTCGCGGGTCATTTGAATCGTATCGGATGGCATCGCTCACTCGGTATATGTTTGAACGTAACGTCTGTCCATCGCATCGCAGACAACATGGAAATATGAGAGAGAGAGAGAGAGAGATTGTCTGCGAGTCAGAGTCAAGTATTTTTTTCGGCTGGTTATGTTTGCTAGCTTCCTTGATGATGATCGCAGTCAGCCCAACAACAAGAGGAGCGAGTCCGGTGCGAAGGAAGGAAGAAAGAAATAAATAAAGTAAAGAATGAGAGAAGGCGAAGGCGGCGAGTAAGTAAGAGGATAGAGAAGAGGTCTGGTCTGGTCTGCAGCAAGAGACAAGAGAGCCAGAAAGAAGAAGCAAGAGCAAGCAAAACAGCATGTGTCGGCGGGTCGGTTTTGCCTTGGCTGCGTCGTTAGTTGTTCGGGGCAGCTGAAGGGGGCTGCGACTCAGTAAAACCCATGCAGCTGCTAGTTTCTAGTCATTCGCTCGCAGAGCATAGTAGCGCGTCACACGCAGAGGGTTGTTGCAGATTGTTGTTTTCGGTTATAAACGAGTTGCATTGCTTCATCTACTGAGAGCACATACCACTACCTACCTTACTTACCTTTAACCAACCAACCAACAACAACGCTTCAGTCGCCGGTCAACGTCGTTCCTACTACACACGTTCGAGTAATTCAGTTAGTGCACAACAAGGAATACTACTACTACCACCACCGCCAGCAACGCTTCAAACAAAATTTTATATAACAACAATGCTGTTTGAAAATCCACCGAAGATGTTCCCTTATACAATTCCGCCACCGGTTTTAGCGGCGTCCGCTCAAACACCAGTTCCGGGGTAAGTTTTTGATAACAACAACAACAAAAAAGCAGCTACTATTACCACCACTTTATTTATCTTTATCTTATTTATTACTACTACTACTACTATTTATCGTTGTTCCACACCACTGGGTCTTGATTTATATCTTTGTATCTTTAATAATAATAATAATAATAAGTATATTATAACTTAACGCAGACACCCGAAGGAACGCGAACGTTGCTTGCATGGCCTTAATAATATTATTATATTATCTATATCTATTACATATATACATCTTTTTTAAACATGTATGTTTTGTTTGTTGTTGATGATTTTCTTTTTTTGGCGCCCAGAACCGTGCGCTTCGTTTTTGAATCTATAATTTAGTGGCGACGAAAACGAAAGAATCGGCGAAGGGCGCTCCTCGGGCAAAACCGAAAGAGAAAACACCATATGCGAATGTTATTTGTGTGCAGACTGTACTCGAGGTATAGAGCAGTAGTTGTATATATATATATAATACACCTTTTTCCCAACATCCATCCGACACAACAACACATAACCAACCACCAACCTTCCGATGGACGTTTTCTTCTTTGTCTCCTCTAACACACGCACGCATTCACACATATATACACACACACACAACACTCACAAGGTACCCTTTGTCGCATTATACCTGTGTGAGTGAGTGTGCCGGTAAAGGCATATTATTCGGTCTCCTCCCTCCCTCGAGAGATGTATTTTACCTGAGAGCGTATTCAACGACCGGTGAAGAGAAAAATTCAAAAACCTGCTCTCCTCATCGTCGTCTTCTTCTTCTTCTCACCGTATCCTCCCATGCTTCACTTCTTCGTGCATCCACGAAACAAAACAAAAATATCTCGTTTTTCATTCTCTTCATCCTTTCGCAAAGAAGCCATCATTTTTTTCGAACTCGAACGAACGCCAATTTTATTCCATCAAAGAAATTAATAATAATAATAATATTCGACGTTTTCAAAACATCTCAAATTGAAATAAATTATTTTGCAAAAAAAAATAATAATAAGCAAACGCGAAAATTTAATCAAAGAGCTCCTGTTCCTTCTCCTCCATCTGATTGTACAGATCGTCCAGCTCGTCGAAGTTCTGGAAGGTCTGTTCGTAGGTTAACATCTGCAAAAGAAAAAATGTTAAATTCATCATCTGAAAAAATATCAAAAAAACTAAATCAATCTTCCACCGTAACAAATCTATTCATGAAAATGCGAATCGACGACGACGACGATGATATAACAACACGAAACTTTCACTTTTCTGAAAATCATCTTCGTGTCGCGGCGCCGGCAATTGTGTATCGATCGATCGAAGAATATAATGAGCGTAATGAGATTAAACCACGTAATATGGCGGAGGAGAAAAAGAAGAGTGGCGCACGGTGGAAAATCGGCTCAATTAGGGGCGAAGAAACCCGATAAAAAATGCACTTGCATGATTTCTTCTTTTCAAATTGATTTTATCGCACTTCTACTAATTTAATTATGGGCAAACATAAACCGTTTAACGTAACATTACATTTTTGTCGTAAATATTAAGTTAATTATAAAATTACCAATAAACCGAGCAACATGGAAACTCTGAATCACCATACGTGATTCACTTTGTCCAGGTTAATTACGTTACATCGGTTCGAGCCCTTTCATGAAAGCCAAGCCAAATTTTGTTGGAAACTTGAAAAGCAAAGTCCGCACTTTGTGTGTGTGTATGCGTTTGTGTTATTAGTGTATTTGCTGCGGCTTTATTTATAACGCGCATAAAATAAACATAAAATCGTTAATCGCTTCCCGGAAGAGAGGGAGCAGCAGCAGCAATCATAAATGCATTACGCGATTCCTGAGGACAGAAATACCACCACCGAAGAGCATGCGTTCCTTTTCAGTTTGCAGCTGTCGTATTTCAAAATTAAAAAAAAAAATCAACGGTTAAAATTGAAGAATCGCCGTAAAGAAAATTGTAAAGTGCTCTCATCACAACATTCAGAAAGAAACAAAAATTGAATATATCTTAAACAAACATAGGAAATTTATGATTATAAACATCTCAATAGAATTTCTGTTTTATAAACAAATAATCAAACGTTTTGTGCGCGCCATCATGTTACAATATCGTTTCTAAAAATTTATTAGACTGAATCGTTTGCAAAACCAATCTCTTAAACATTGTGTTGAATTAGTAGAAAAAAAAGCAAATTTTCCACTTAAAATTTCATCCATCATTTCGATGTGTTTTCGAAAGACTTTCATATATTTATTTGTATATATATATATTTATAAAGACGACAAGTATTGATGGTCTCCCCAACGGAAAACTGGAAGACTACCAACTGGTATTGATTAATAGCGAACATGCATTGCCACTCGAAGATTGCGCTTTATACATAAACATATATAAAGACGGTCGCGGTAAATCAAAATTTTCCATTTCGATCCTAATTGCATATCTATATAAAACACACGCAAATAACCTTTCCCGAACCTACACAGTTTCCCTACAAAACAAACAACATCTCGTATATATTGAACCACTAACTAATCAGTTGTATTTTATCTTTTCTCCATTACTACTTACATTATTTCTTGTGTATTTACATTACTATACTTTATCAATCGATTGATTTGATTTGATTGATTTAGGGTAACAATTATTAATACGTTTGCGTTTTTGTCGTTAATTAATTACATACATCTTTCGCATAAACCGCACCACCATATGCATATTTATTTGTTTATACTATCTCATCCATAGCCACCCGTGGTTTCTTTTCGTTGACTTTGTTTTATTTTAAATCTATTTTTTGTGTACAGCAGTCGTAGAAGATATCGTTGTGTTGTGTTGTTGTTTATTTTTTTTTATTTCTCTTTTGTTTTTAAACTTAGGACATATTTGATTAACGCATTCTCGATTTCGTCTCGATTAATAACAATTAATATTTTATATATATATATATAGATTTAGACAATCTTGATTATCTTGATTCCAATAACAAAACGTAACCGAGAGAAAAAAAAAACATAATAATGTAATGTGTATAAATTATGTGTAATCATTGCTGTAGGGTTTTTGAGTTGGTCTTTTTTTTTTCTTCATTTGTATCGTATTATATACAGGGAGTCCCCAAAAATGGTTAAATAAAATACAGGTAGTTCCCGTCTTTACGAAATATGATTCTCTTTTTTGCATAAATGTAATGTAGAATTTGTAAAATGAGAACTGCCTGCATACAAGTTTTATAAATGGTAAATAATAATCGTCGACCTTTCCGGATCGAGTCGTTAAACATGCAAATTAATGTACTTGTTATTTCGTCCGGATCTATAAATAACGAAACCGGCAATAATTTAAATTAGCAAACCCGAAACTCTCGTTAATAACGTTTCGGCTAAAAAAAAAAGAAAGAAATAACATTGTTCCGGTTTTATTTACGTAACAACATCTTCATTGTGCCGCCGAGTCTGCTGCTATCAATGAAATAACATTTGCGTTTGTTGCATAATGATGATAAGGCGAGAAACGTGTTGATACTAGTCCGCTTTCTAACCCCCCCACGTAGGTAGATTGTTTGCTAGACTGCTCATTCTTCCCTGTATTATTACTAACTTATTATTCACGAATCTGCATACTTATAAATCTTTGAATAGTTTAGTTAACTATTTCGATAGTACTAGAACATTTAGTGTTATTCAATTGCATATTTGATTATTCGGTTACGCGTTCGAAAATCGTCCATTATCGCGAAATATTAAACAAAATTGAAATTTGGGACACCCTGTATATACAAACAAGTAAATAACAATAAACAAAGCACCGATTGTGTATGATTTGGCGGTCACTATTTGTTAATTTGTGCTTTTTTTTTGTTTTGTTTATTGTAGTTTATTTCATTGTGAACTTAACACAAAACTTCAAACACGCATTATTCTGTTTACCCCGATTGTCATGCAAATGTGCGTTTAATTCACCTAACACTCATCAAACTAACCGAAAGATGGAGACGCGAGCATTTCTTTTCCCGTCATTGAAAAAACGAAAAGAAATGCAGCGTTTCCGTCCACCTGCGTTGTGTATTATTATGTAATAATCTGTATACTAAAAAGAAAGTAATGGATCTTCTTTGTTTTATTAATTAATAATATAATAATATATAACAATATTTTGTTCTTTAGCATTTTATATATATGTATATATTATATATACATATATATAAAATATTATACATACATATATTATAGATAACTGTAATTATTAAATTTTTGTGTTTTAATATTGTAATATTTTTGTTCCGTTTTTGTTTTGTTTTGGATTTTTACTTTGTTGTTGTTTCTTCTTAGGCCTCTTAATAAAACGAGCAAAACAATTGTAGATCACAGGTTGTACACGTATGTAATAATAATAATAGCAAGTTTAGTTTCTAGATTTAATTAATAATCTTAAAAATTAATGATGATATATTTTGTTGATCGAAAAGAGTAAAATTTTCATATGCACACACATACACGCACTCTGTCTATCTCACATATTTTAAGCAATTTCTCTGTCTTTTCTCACCACCTCTACTACTCAAACTCACCAACTAAAACCATGTAATTAATACCTTTACATGTTTCGAATTTCGTAGTGTAAAATATGCACGCGGTGATTATTTCAATGGATTATGTATGACGATAACAGAAAGTGGATGAGATAGATCTGAGGGTTATTGCTGTGTGCTGCGTCTGTTTGTTTTCCTCTTTTCGCACTATTTTTTTTTAAATTTAATTATTGTTGGAAGAAAATCTTAAACTCGTTTTGTTATTATTACGATCACTGTTGTTTTTATGATTTTTCTTTTTCTGTGATTAAGTGTCGCAGGATTCAGGAAACGGAAGCCGAAGCGGAGCGTCGGCAGCAACCACAGCCGCCGCCGCCGCCACCGGACAACACGCTGGATGCGAGGGGGTGCGGAGTGGAACCCCCCTCCGCCGATGGAGATGATGAAAAGCTTTTATTTGTGTCTCTTGAAACATACATTTCTTGTTAACAACAACAACAACAACAACACGACAAAAAAATGAAAACACTCAAAAAACGAACAAAAAAAAAGAAACATGATAAGCAAATTTTCAAACAATTGAAAACCGAGCCACCTCCACAGAAGGTAAAACACTGCAAGAAATAAGCGCTCTCTTGTATATATTATACACATAATGTTTTTGTTTCCTTTGATTTGGTTTTGTTTCTTAGAGGACGATTGTTTTTAGTATTTAGTTAAGAGGCTATCTCGATTAATTGATTGATTAATATTAATTGGAGCGATATGTAGGTGCGTGCAACTATGTATCTGTTTCTAAAAAAAAAAAAGAGAGAGAAATGAATGAACACACACCATCTCATAAATATTAATTGAAACACAACCGTAGATTTATAGATTTTTCCCATCTAGAGAGGAGCTGGCAAAAAAAAAATAATTAAGAATGCATATGCAGAGAACTACTTCTAATATAATCTTCCCCTTTAGACGTTTGGTTTCCCTTCGTATGTCTCCCTTACAAATAAGCCCAATTAACCATTTTAAATCCACCTTCTTTTTCTTTTTTTTTAGAAAAGTTATATGGAATTAGCGTTAACAAAAACCTTTTCAAATTTCAAAAATTTGCTAATCTTTTGTGTACATTAATCTAACCACAAGCAGTGTGTTGTAATTTATGAATTAACTTGTTTTTGATTAGCTGTACATGTTTTTCTTTATACCTTTAATTTTTAGTTTGTTATTCTCTATTTTACTAATTGTCAGCTTTGATATTTTCTCTGTGGGGCGATGTACGAATCGGGCTGCGAGCCGAAATGCGAAAAGGGGGATGTGAAAACGCAAGGGAGAAAATCGATACGGCCAGACTCCCCCGGACGAGTGCGCCCTCAAACCTCTACGCCCCACGTCCCCCTCTCAGAACCGGAAAAGGAAGCGACCGTCGACCGCCGCCCCCCGTAAAGTGCGCGCGCGAGTCCGGTCGCTGCCCCCTGGCGGCGACCGTCGCGAACCCCCACGTTCCGTCGAAGGAGTGGCGCCACCGTGCGGCGGCGGCGATGCTTCCGCTCCCGTACTTGTATCGATTCGCGCCGCCTCCTCGAGACACTCCCCATCTTGAATTCATTACGCAAGTTGCCTCCTTCTCCGCCCCCGCGTGAACCTTTCAAATTGATTAATTTCAGCTCGATTGATTTTTCTCTATTTCTCTCCTTAATACACCAAATACGTGCAAACACAGCGAAAGCAGCTAATAATATATATGTAGGGGCTTTAAGGGATGCATTTCTGCAGCCATCATCTCTCCTCCGCCATATTAAGATTTAGCAACAATCTGATGACGCAACTTAGAATCGATACACCCCGCGAAATCTCCATAATAATAATGATAATTAATGGCAACGTCGCGAGGATTGAATAAATGGTATAGAAATGATTGAAAATTAGAGAAATACGAGGGGCGGTGATGTTTGTTTGGTAGAGTACTAAACACACAAAGCCTAAATTTTATTAATCGATTTAATTGGACTAAGTACAACAACAACAAACAGATACGGAAAAAGTTACGTCTTTTGTTAGTGCCAGGATTTAAGGGAATCTTAATTATTCGGTCTCATAGATAAAATTATTTTCAACGGGTTTCTTTTTTTTACTGGATGTTTGGGGTGTGTGCTGGGTATATTACAAAGACAACGACAATATAACGTGTTTTAAACAAAATCTATATATATATGTAATGTATGTATATACACATAAATTGGTGCAGCAGAGAATCGATTGTTTCTCGCTTGTCTTTCCGACAGTATTTCTAAAATATAGGTACATCAAAGTAAAAAAAATAATAATAAAAAGAAACCACACTCTAAAACAGCTAAGGTTACACTAAATATTCGCATTTATATATATATATAAGTATAAAACAATTAGATTTATGTTGCGCTAAATAAGTAAATTAAGTAAAATCTAGGTGCTTCACTACGAAATACAAATATGTAATAGGTCTTAGTTAGTGGGTTTATACTGTAATCAAAATCTTTATCCAATGGCGTCGGCGGCAATGGCAAAGTACTCCTCCCCTCTGATAGTTGCGAGATCCGTTGTTTGTTCACTTGGTTTGTTGGTTGGTTGTTTGTTTGTTTCTTTCGACGATGAAGAACAAATAAACCCAGACGAAGATGTTTGAACGGGGAATAACAATGATGATTGAAGTATCCCGCGATGGTCATGTCCCGTAGCAGCAGTAGCATTCGAATTTCAGTACTGCTGTGACAGGACAATATCACCGCAGGATTTGATGCTTGTTGTTATTATATATGCGTATGTGTGAGTGTGTGTGAATGTTTTGTGTATGCGTTTTAATGTATGTCTATGTGCGTTATTCCCTTGTTTCTTATACTATTTTCTTTTTTTTGTGGTTCTCGCTCGGACAGGGTTGTTTTCTTCTTTTTCTTTTCGTTGTTTTTCGAAATGTGCGTGGACTGAGACTGCGATGCGAGAGAGACGTTTGGTGGTGGAGTTCGCGATCGTGACTGAGTTAGAGAGCCGAGGGGAGATGAGCCACCCTCTCGCCGTCCGTCCGCGCCCGCCACCGCCTCCATGGCAACGGAGCTGCTGCGCCGCCGCCACCGTCCGGCCGCACCCCACATCACTAATGTATGTGCACGTGCGCCACCGCCAACAACCGACCACCCCATGCCATCATCCCCCAACCGAAAAGACCCCCGCGCCGAAAACACACCGCCGCGCCCCTCGTTGAGGGTTGCTGCTGCGAGCGTGGAAGCGGGAGGCGAGGTGAGGCGGAAAGGGGGAGACACCCTCGATGTTGAAAACGTTGGGTGTATTGATCGCCCCGCGCGCCACCGCTGCTTCACACGACGAGGGGAGCAACTCGTACGCGAGGGGTTACGAAAGAGAAAGACACACGACCGCCCTTGCACCGCGCCCGTTCCCCCATTCACCTTCCGTAGAATGTCCAGAATTTAAAAAAAAAGAAGAAGAAGATGGGGGGCGCAAACAAAAAAATGTGTATGTATGTATATATATATACATCCAGTGCACGAAAAGGGTGCGCGTGTTCCACTGAACCAAAGTACAGTGGCGGCGGAACCAGAAATCCATTTTCATTTAAAGAGGGTTTGGTTTCTGCGAAATATGTTTCAAAGGAATTCCTTCTCCGATATCTACCTATAAATATATATACAGGTAAAGATGCGAATCGCGAAAGTAACGGAAATGAGAGGGCGATGATTGGATCGGATGAACTCACCTTCCGGTTCCGCGGATTCTTCAGCAGCCCCATCCGATCCCACGGATATTTTTTATTTCGAATCCTGAAAAGGAAAACGCGATTAGATCAATGTTGCACTGCAGAAAATCATTACATCCAAATACATACAAATTTACTTTTACAACTTTATCTTTTATATAATATTCAGTAAATCTCTTTGTACCAGAAATATGGCAAACATCGGCCGGACACGTTCACAATTTTTGTTTATACGAAATGTTTGCTTTCATCCCTCCACTCGCAAGAAATGAATCGATACTATATATATTCTCTACCTATACTATACGAAAACAGAGAAACAAATGTTTGTTCGGGACACATCAGATCCATTAAAATTTCTATTTAACTTTTGACCCAACTCCCCAATGTTGTCCAGAGCAGTGGCCTGAAAATTTAACGAGAATTTACTTCGCGTTGCTACGGAAATGTACATTCACAATAACGATATGTTGTTGCCGAAGCATTATTGAGCGATGGAGGAGAGAGTAGGTAACGGAGAATTCAGGAGCAACAGTTTGCCAATTTTACATATAAACAACAACAAAAAGAAAGATTGTAAACTTTTGATTCAAACGTGTGTTGTTGAATAAACATTGCAGCTTTTACGCAACTGTTGAGGACGCGTTTCGAGCGATAGGGAGAAAAGATGGCCGTGTTTCGCTCCGGGCCCTTCTCTCTCTCACCCCTCTCTATAGCCACCCCAAAAATAAATCAATAATATTCAATTTCGCAGACAATAAGGCCTTTGCTATGCTGCTGCTGCTGCTGCTGCTGCTGCTTCTGCTGTGTTTAGTACTCGCAACATACAGTTGATGTTTGATTCACCGCATCTAAGGTTTTTTTTTTGAACAGTTTCAGATGAGCTCAGAAAGGTGCATTTATCTATTTTCTTTTGTTATGCTCTGTTCTTAGTGTATTTTTCATATATAATTCACTGACGCGCACGATCTGACCCAGTGAAAGTTCACGGTTGAAGTACCATAAAAATACTTTGTTACAAAAGTTACCGGTGATTAAAATAAAAAAATTAGTCCGAAATGATGAAACTCACATAATTGTATCGCACTTGTAAATTGCGTACAAAGTGAAGAGGCCGGTGCAGAACAAGGAGACGGACGTGATCGACACCAGCGGAATAATCTGAAACATAGAGATGAACGCTCGTTATAGAAATGGTATCGCGTTGCCATAAAACAAAACAATAAATAGTTTCCTTCGCAACCTTTATAATTATCCACACCCCTATAATTATTGTTACATTTTTGTTTGTTTGTTTGTTTTTTTTTTCGTTTTGTTACGAATTCTCAAATGGTATTTTAGGGCTTAAACTTAGTGTCTGTATATTGTTACACTACTACTAACTGTATTGGATGATTGGAGATTTTGGTGAAGTTGTTGATGGGAGAGTGTGCTTGAGCGAGAAAGAGGAATGAAGGAGGATGCGCCGGTGAATCAATGATCTCGTCTAATTTCTGTGTTGTTTTGCAATTTTCAGTGCCGCGATCGGCGATGGAAACGGACTGTTGGAGCACCACGAGTTGCACGGCTCCCTGGTGCAACTGAATGGAAGCCATTCGGGCTCTTCGGGCCGCAGCACTCCCAACAATGGTGGAGATCCAGCTCCAGGAAAACTCTTCGTCGGCGGACTGAGCTGGCAGACTTCTAGCGAGAAGTTGCGCGAGTATTTTGGAATGTTCGGCACCGTCACCGACGTCCTCATCATGAAGGATCCAGTCACACAGGTAAAAATAATAATTCAATTTCAAAAAATATCCACCATATCGAGTAACCAATATAATATCAAAACCAGATGAATCCAATTTTCGTGATAATTGAGTTGGATTCGTTTTCGTGTTCAGTTATTGTTAGCGAATTCACATGGTGTCGTGTATTTGGCATCAAAACCTCTTTTATTTCGCTACAAAATCGATGACTCACTTTTTGGCCAATTTACTAAGTCTACAGTTTCTAAGGCAAAATATGATAAAATTGTATTATAAGATATTGTTTTAATTGAATTGAAAGTAAATTAATTATTAGTCAGATGTCTAATATTTGTGTTGTGATTTGCAGAGGAGTAGGGGATTCGGTTTCATCACATTCTCCGATCCGACGAGCGTGGATAATGTGCTCAAGGTGCCGATTCACACTCTGGACGGTAAAAAGATCGATCCGAAACATGCGACGCCCAAGAACAGACCGAAGCAGCCCAACAAGACCAAGAAGATCTTCGTGGGCGGCGTCAGCCAGGATACTTCCGCCGACGAGGTGAGGGCCTATTTCAACCAATTTGGAAAGGTCGAGGAGACGGTGATGCTGATGGACCAACAGACAAAGAGACACAGGGGCTTCGGCTTCGTTACATTCGAGAACGAAGACGTGGTGGACCGCGTCTGCGAAATTCACTTCCACACGATTAAGAATAAGAAGGTGGAGTGCAAGAAAGCGCAGCCAAAGGAGGCGGTTCAGGCGAACGCTCAACTCCTGGGAAAAAGGCTGATGCTCAGCGGATTGGGCATGAGAATGACGGCACCATCGGCAGCTGCTGGTGCCATTGCCGCAGCCAACCCCTTGGCCGTCGCCCAAGCTCAAGCGCACGTGCAGGCCGCCGCAGCAGCCGCCGTAGCAGCACAGGCACAGAGTGCCGCCGTCGCCGGTTACGGCAAACTCTTCGGGGCATACCCACCTCTCGCCAGCTACAGATACGCCCCGTATCCGATGGCCGGTGTTGGAGCAGCAACGGCCGCACAGGCCGGCAACCCGAACCCCGCTCAAGCTGCGGCCGCCCCCGCGCTCGCGCCCCCTGTCACCGCCAGCCCCTACCAGGGCTACAATCTCACCAACGTGGACATGACGAGCTTCCAGGGCGTGGACTGGAGCACCATGTACGGGATGGGCATGTATGTTTGAGACGTCAACACCCACAACGTCGTCGTCGCCGCCGCCCCAGAAGCAGCAGCAACAGAAGCAGCGCCATCTCGAGCAGCAGCAACAACAACAAACCCCCGTCATCATTATCATCATCACCGCCGAACAAACAACTAAACTTTCCCCAAAACTTTTAAACTTAGTAAAGCGAGAAAGAGCGAAAGAGAAAAAGAGAGAGAGAGAGGCATTACAGTGAGTTCATTATTTAAAATAAAGGAAAGAGAAAATCATAAAAAAATAAAAAATTAAAACAAAACCAAAAAAATTAAAAATAATAATAAGATGATACTTAAAAATAAGAGGACTTCCACAAACTTGACAAGAGAATAAGAAAAGTACCGTTCACTGTTATTGGTATTATTCAATTCGTAGAGCTCTCGACAGCTTTTCCTGTCACCAATATAAGTATATATACATATAATACAATATATGAATATATAGTAAGATATATTTATTATATGTATTTCTATATATATAGTTATACCGCTATAGTATGTACATATGAGACGAGGAGGAGAATCGGGAATGGTGACAGGAGGATCTTGAAAGGAGCTAACGAGAGAGAAAAATGAAACCTCAACTGCTCACGAGATCACAAAATTCAACAACAACAAAAACTCTTTGGATTTATATATATATATTTAAAAAAAAAGATGGATCTTAGCATTTAGCAATAATTAACTCGCAATAATTATTAAATTTAAAACGAGATAAGAAAAGAAAGAGAGAGAGAGATAGAGAGAGAAAGTGTGGAGTGAAAGGAAGGAGAATTACAATAATTATTAATTATAAAACGAGGGAAAACGAAATGAAACAGTATTATTATATAAAAAAAAAAGAAAAGAAATAATGAAGGAGCAAGGAGATGAGGAAGTTATGTATTTGTAATATACTATACGATAAGAGGAAATAACCAAACTCTCGAAATACGCTTCAACTCGAAACGCAAACACCTCCAACCCTCACCGCATCACTATTTATACCCCCCCAAAAAAAAAACAAATCAAAATCCACTCTGCCCTCGTTTCCCTCATCACCGCAACATTGGGTGAAGACAAAGAGGTGCTTGCTCGAGAAAAGCGTGTTATATCATTAAAAAAAAAAGAAACTCGTGTTATTATCTCGAAGATGATATATACTATATTATATAATGTTTTAAATTATTGTAAAAAGTGGAATGACGAAGAGAGAGGAAGAGATATCCAAGAGTGTTGGGTATCTTGTGTGTGTATGTGTGTGTGTGTATATGATGTACTTAATAATGATGACACGAGGAGACGATGAGAGAGGACCATAACATTTCACTTTTTCCTCGCCTCCCCTCGGAATACCACGAACATCAAAACTTAACAACAACAACAACAAAAACATATGAATTTTTAGCATCTCGATTTGTTTTTGTAAAATTTTCGAGAGCGCCCGATTTTTCTTCCTAGCGCTCGTTTTTGTTTTCCATTGAAAAAAAGAGAGAGAGAGAGAGAAAGAAAGAGAAAACGTTTTCTTTCCTACAAAAGAAAAAAAAACAACCCTGGGATCATTACTATTACTATAATTATTATATCTTATTGTACATTATGTCTTTACTTTTAGTTACATCCCCGATTATTTTTTTTATATTTTTCTCGTTTCTCTAATAATATTATTATTTTTGTGAGTGCGTGCGAGTAGGCAGAGCGTGTGAGACTGTGAGAGAGAGCGAAATCAAGTTCAGTTCTTCTCATCACCCTTTAGACATTAGATAATAATTATTTATTAATTATTGATTATTTATTTGTATTTATTGTTAGTAGTACTTTTTTTTTTGGTTGGAATCGAACGAAAAAATGAACACTGAGATCCCAGCAGCGACAGCATAAAGAGAAAACCGAAAGGGAAAACAAAAACCAATCTAGAGAAGCCAACTCACATATTAACACAACAAAAAAAACAATCACACTACTTAAATTATTATTATTACTATAGATCTCATATTATTATTATTATTTCCATCAATTATCGTTTTGTTTCCTTATTATTATTATTATTATTTTTGATATTTTGTTCTGTTCATTAGGAGGAAAAGTAGAGACGAACTATATTTTTTATTTTGTTTTTTTTTGATATCTACTTACATTATATGAATTATGGAACAGAAAGAAAACAAACAAATAAGAACCTAGTTAGTTTGATTATGATTATTATTTTACTCAATCCTCACACAAACAACCCCCCGCCCCCCCAACGGATATTCTTTTGTTTTTGTTTTAGTTTATACATTTTGTGAATGCCACTTAATTTATTATTCCTTTATTATTATTTTATTTTTTTTGTAGAATTTAGTGTTATTATATTTACGATTAAAAAACATGAACTTGAACGATTTAATCAAACACACACAAACACCTGAACGATGTTTCTTTTGGGAGGAAAATCCAAAAAAAAACGTTCATCAACTTTTCATTTCCTCGCATTTTCTTCAAACAGCAAGAACTTTAATCGAGTACGAGTATTTTAAAACTTGCGAACATTCCAAAAAAACAAAGATAATCTATATAATATTTATATATACTTAAGAAGAAAGGAAGGAAAGAGAGAAAAAAAAAACACATGTTTCAATTATGTAGTCAAACTCTAAAAGAGAAAGAGAGAAAAACAGCAACTAACCGTATTGTAAACAAACGTAATTAACTAATTATTAAAGTAAGTAGTAAGGAAATAGAAATCAATTAAAAAATGAATGAGGATTTAAAAGAGATGAGGAATAACGGTGTGATTTGCGGACCAATTCGCATCCGACGACGGTGATGAATGAGATTACTAATTATTAAGTCTTAGTCATTGAGCCTCCTCTCGATTGAAGAGAAAATTCATTTCTTTTTCTGTGGTGTGTGAGAGGGGAGCGCGATTTTTAAACGGACGTACATTTATAAGCGATTTTATGAACAACAACAACAAAAAAAAAACAAGATTCGTTTCGGTTTGCGCGCTTTATTTAAACCGTGTCTTTCTCTCTTTCGGGTTGGGACGAGCGGAAAGTGAAAACTCGCAACAACAACAAAAAAAAATGATTTCAAATGATGCAATCGAGTCTGCCTTGCTTTACCCTTCAAACAAGTGATTCTTTCCGCTCACGCCAACTTCGATTTAGAGATCGATCATTTATTTCCTTTTTGTACATATATATATATATAAAGTAATAAATACGGCGTAGTTAAGATGTACCACATAAGACTTTCATTAATTAATGTATAAGAAAAGAAAAAAAGTTAAAGGATAAGCATAACGACAGCAATAAGACGAGTTACTCTTTAAGTTATTTAGTTTCTAGTGAAGACGCAGCGACACTTTTCTTTTTAATTTCTCATTCGATTTTTCGGTTGGCCGCAAATCCAACAGTTTTTTTTTTGTTTTTGTTTTGCGAACATAACGATATGAATATATTTTTGTATTTGATTGATTGGTTGGTTTGCGAGACAAACAAGAAAAAAAAAACAAATGAAGAGAGAGAGGAAATCGAAAAAAAAACAAAAAATAGATAGAGTTGATGATGAATTTGTATTAAACAAAATGTTATCTTTCTTACTAATACTACTACTACTACTTTTCTAATCGAATCGAGGGAAATCATTCAACAATTTCTTCCTTTTGTCGGATACTTTCGTATCGTTAACATTACCACCCCCTAGCAACAACAACAACAAACAGAAGAAGGAACATGAAACAAAAGAAAGAAAAACAAATGACACACCCTTGAGATGAGAGTGAGCTAGCGAGTTGTTGCCTTCTGAGACTATTGGTTTTACATATATGATAATACTATATATATATAAATATTAAATTTAACAAAAATAACATATACTATATATATATATTTAAAATAAAAGAAAATACTCAAATAAATTACCAAATTTTGTGAATAATAACGATGGAGAAATAACGATTTTGTCAGAGAGAAAGATAGGGAGAATGATTGAAAGAAAGAGAGTGAGTGAGACAGTAATAAACGTTTTTTCTGTAGCCTAAGTATTACTTGTGTATCATAAATTATTATTATTATTTTCTATTAGTGTATTTTTCTTAGTGTTGGTAGACTGTGTATCTGTGTGTAGTTTTATTAAAAGTAGTGCAGTTTTTGGCACTGTAGAGGAGGCCGTTGTTTCGAATAAAGTAGATTTTCATAGTTGCTCTGCTTGTTCTCATATTTACACACTTATTAATAATTATAAGAATATCTCTTTATATATATATACGTACATACATATATATATATTTAATATTTATCTAAGATATATGAAAAAAAAAATTAATGACAACAATAACCACCAACCCCTATTTTTTAAAAAAATAAGAAGAAAAAAAAACTATATTGAATAATCAAATGATAAACTTCTAAACGAAAAAATCCCCCACACGTGTATTGTAAATTGTATAACTTTAAAAGAAAGAAACAAACAAACAGAAAACACACACACACGTGTTGTTCTATCTCCGTTTTCTGCGAACGATAGAAATTAGAGAAAGAGAGAGAGAGATCTTGGATAATAATCACCGCTTTCTGTGATACAAATTTTAGATTTTTATGGACTAGTCTTATCCTTGTAAATCACTTTGATTATTGTTATAATTGCACGGTCTGTCTGTCTGTAGCTGATGTTCCCGTGCCTTATTAAGATGGTGAGGATAGAAGAAAGAGAGAAAGAGAGAGAGAGAAAAAAGGAACGTTTTTCATTCGTCGTTGCGAGAGAGAGAGAGAGAAGAGAAACAGTATTTAGAGCCGAAAGAAAAACGATATTTTTTTAAATAAACGAGAACTCCCGCAAAGTGAAAAGAAAAGAAAATATACCTAAAACAAATGCAAGATGGTCTCGCAGCAACCCCCAAAAAAAATTAAAATAAAAACAAAAACAAAAGCACATTCCAGAGGCCACCTTGCATTTCGGGATAATTAGAGAGAAGATTGCACCACGATTCCTCCCCCAACACAACCCCACTCCCCCTCAACCCAGACATATCGTGTTGTGTTTTTTCGCAAAGAGAGAAACGAAAACGAAGGAGGAGAAGATAAAGTGACTTAAAAAGAATGTAATATTGAAAACTAAAGTCTTCCCCAGATTGAACAAAAAAAGAAAAAAGTTAATAATATAAAAATCTAGAGAGAGAAATCCTTTATTTTTTCTGCAATTTGTACTTTTCGCATGCTTGATTCGATTGACCAAAACAAATCCTAAAATTTTTAACTTTACGT